AAGCATATCAAGCAAATCGAACATATCAAACATATCAGGCATATCAAGCATATCAAACATATCAAACATATCAAACATATCAAACATATCAAACATATCAAACATATCAAGCATGTCAAACATATCAAACATATCAAACATATCAAGCATATCAAGCATGGCGAAAGCGTGTGTGTTTGAATGATGAGCATGGGTACAACATGGATGGTGACTTTCTCCAACACAGAAGAAGACGCCTGATCACTTTCGACCCCCCATTGTGTCAGAAGCACTCTAAAAGCTCCGGAGAAGGTCCCCCGTTGTGTCGCTAAAGAATGCTAGAAGCTCCGGAGAAGGTTCCCAGCTCCATTGCGTCAGAAGTACTGAACACTCTGAAAGCTCTGGAGGTCCCCAGCCCCATTCAGGAGTGCTGAAGAAGCTGCGGAGGAGGACGTGTGGCAGTAACTTCGGGATCGGCGACCCTTCCGTTTTTGTTCGCAACCGGGATCTGAGCTAGAACCGGCCGGTCTATTGCGACGAGGCGGGTGTCGGATCGTCCTGGCTTCAATATCATGCGCCGTTGAAAGGGCAACATGACCTGGAGCGAGGGGAACCTGACCAGCATGGCGCGTAAACTTTTTTCAATAGACCGACAAAAGAGAACTGAAAACAAGACGAGCCTTATTAACTTTTTGCCATCAACCAAACTCATCTATCTCAGAAATCAAAAACACCAACATGTCCAAAAACACCATACAAAACCGCGGCCAACGTGAAAAACAAGTTTTTTTTGGCAAAGCTCGTTTTAAAGTTGCTAATTCAAAATTTTGTCAGTCAGAATGGAAAGATAAATATACTTCTTGAACAAGAAGAAAAAGGCAGCATGTTATGGTGTTTTCGGAAAATATAATTTCTTTGAAAAGACTCGAAGAACAAATTCACTGCAAAGCTGTTCAGACTGGAGCTAGGTTCCTCCAGAGCTTCGAAAGTGATTCGAGGGACCTTTTCCGGAGCTTTTAAGGGATTTCTGACAATGGGGCTAAGAACCTTTCTCCAGAGCTTCTGTCGCACTTCTAACACAATGAAGCTGGGGATGCTTCACCCGCCACGCAGGGAGGGTCCACAAGGATGACTGGCGGTGCTTCTCTGCTTCCGGCAGCGTCATAGGAAAACTTGGTTGAGAGACGGCTGAGAACAGGTCCGAACGCTCAAAACAGAAGTCTGTGCTCTTTCAACACAGCACGAATTCCGCCTGCTCATCTACCTCACCTCCTTGTGAAAATCAGCAGCACAGTAAGCCGTTCCTGTGTGTCTTTGAACTTGGTGTGAAACGGATCGCCAGAAAAACAGTCCCAGAGCAGCCATAGCAGCACCAAGTCGTGTGGAAAAGCCGCACAATGCGATTATGTGCCGAAGAACAAACACCATCACGCAATCTTCAGGCAATCTAAGGTCAAATGAGCAACCTGCTGGAAGTCACAAATCCGCTACCATTGCCGGCATTCCAACCTCTGACGGTGCGAGCCCACGCAAACCAAAGTTGGACTGTTGGTAGCAACACCCACAGCAACTGACATCATTTCAAATGATTGCACACAGCCAAAAAAGCGCCAAGTGCTTTTGTAAGAGTCATTTGCAAGGCGACATTCCAAACACAGTTCACCAGGGCAGTGTCGATTCCAATTCGACAGGTGTTCGCCCCACTGAATCCTCCTACCCATGGTAATTAGCCAGCGGGGCTACTGAGAGAAGCTAAGAGGCTGTTGATTCCATCGCTCTTCGCAGCTTATTTTGCATTTGGATATTTTCATTCTGTGGGCCCGCGGCCGACTGCTTCGCAAAGCGTAAAAGACCAAAGTCACGCAAAGGACAAGCAACTCACTCGTGTCCCAAAGTAACAAGTGCAAGTAACCCCTCACAGTCACACAGCTCACAGGTACCCCAAACACTTCTTTCAGCCTTCTCGCACTGAAACACGACTCCGGTCTTGAGCCAAACAACATGCGTTTGCATGTGGGGCTCCCTAAGTCAAACACTGGGCTTTAAACACTCTCCAAAACTGAAGCTGCATAGTCGCAGACAGCTCACACAACTCAAATGCCACTCAAGGTGCGTGCACAGCTCCAAACAGATGCAAAACACTCTAAAACCGTGTCAACGCAGGAAAACAGAGCTGACCTCTATACTACACACTTCCTACTCAAACTGAGAGCCCACAAAAACGTTGACTATCTACACCCCCTTTGGGCTCGAAGCTCGAAGCCTCAGCGCTTAGCGCGTTGGCCGTGGGATGTTTGCCCGCTGGGCCTCGAAAACGCCCCTGTCCAAGCAATACGTGCAAAGGTTCTTAACCGTAGGCCTGTTCCTCAACGTGTGACAGTCATCCTTCAGGTGATAGCAATCACCGCACGGCGAGAAGAAGACATGTCCCGGGAAGACTCCTGCCTTCTTTGTTCTATGCCTAGACATCGACAAACCCCACGCACAGCCGACGCAGCTCATTCCAAGCAAAAGACTACACACAGCTGTCACCAACAAGAGCACAATCACTTGCTGCTCCAAGGGTTGCAACACTGTCCAAACTCTCAGACGGTTCTCCACGCTAGTTGCCAACAACCCTACACGCTCAACAAGCGACATAGCGGCTCCTCCCTATACACAGACAGCGGGTTTGCTTGAGGTAAAACGGCTTTACAAACTGGAAATAATACGAAGAACGATCTTGCACAACGACTCGGGGTAGTGCTGGGTAGCTCTCAGGTCAAACCTCTCAGAGTGGCGGTGGTCCTTGGTGCACCTAATGACGTCGAGGACCTTAGCGAGCTGGGGAAGAGTACAGACTACTTTCCACTGCTTTCGGATCAACAGATCGTCTCTCCCTCGCATGTTAAGTGCACAAGCTTCAACCATACACTCATAGATAGGGTGTTTTTGACCTTCTAGAAAGCTTCGAGTTTGGTTCCATGTCCAGTATTGACACCTCCAGGGCCATTCTATGCTCCAAGCATGCACAAACGGCACCAAGCTCAGTAGCGATTTCCACAACTTCCTGTGTGTATCAAGCAGACTGCTTATGCGCACACGGTGTGCTTCTCCGCCATTCTGCAACCACATACGCTGATATGGGCAACCACCGGTGCAGGGCGCGCTGCTCCACAGGTACACGCGCATGTTCTGTCGAATCGCTTCCACGCACAAGCTTTTCAAGGCTGCAACCGTGTCCGCTCTCCTGGCGTCGTCCGACTCCGTCACCGTCACCACGTGCACAGAAGGGAACTCGTCGACAGCAACTCTCGAAAACGTGGATAGAAGAGGCGCACAGAACTCGATCATCAACCACCTACAGTACCCTGCTTCCACTTTCCACGCTCAGGCAAAGACGTAACCTCACCACGCGCGACACAAGCTTGCAAGGCCGAGGCAAAAGCGGTTGCTCCTTTCTCGAACTTGGGAAGGGTGAACTCGACCAAACCAATGGACTTCATGTGCTTCATGGTCGTATGGATATCGAGGTTCTTGGTGTGTAGATCCGCAGGATTGTGCTCACCCTTGATTGAAACCACCAAGATATTTCCCATCTGCACTTCAGACTGCACAAAGCATGAACGGAGCTCTATGCGCCTAAGCTTCCTGAGCCCTTCCATCTTGCTTATGTTTACCGCAGCCTCGGAATCACAAAAGATCTGGGGTTTCAAGCTTACAAGGTTGTCGAAGATATGTCCTATAGCGCATCTCACGCCCAACGCTTCCTTCGATCCCTCGACCAAAGCGTATAATTCACTCTCGGCGGAAGACAAAGCCACAGCTTGTTGGAGCCTGCTCCAGCTCTTTATGCACGCCCTGCCTAACATGATGCATCCGCCTGATATCGATCGGCGGGAAACGGATCGCTCCGATCCCCAGGACACATCAACAAACGCGCAAAGTCGCAGCTCGTCCTTCGACTGTCGGGGAAACAACTGGTAGTACCCGGCGACAGTCTTCAGGTATCTCAGCGTTGCACGCATGGCCTTCTCGTGCACTTGTAACGGGTTTGCCTGTCCGCGCGACAGCATGCTCACCCAGTAAGGCATGTCGGCCCTTGTTGTCGCCAACCATGCCAACTTCCCAAGAGCTCGCCGGTATCTGCCTGCTGCCTCTGGGCTCAACGGTGCTTGCTCCGTGGGATCGTCCATCGCCTTGTCGAACATGTCTCGGAGACTGGGTGGAGTAGGCTGCGGCTTCGCGTTCTCCAACTGGTACTCTCCAAGAATGTCCGCGATATAGGACTCATCCATTCCAAAATGGATATCGCCTCCCACCTCGGTTCTCACTATGTTTCGTCCTAGGAAGACGATCTTCTTGTCCTTGTCCAATTCTGCCGTCACCTTCAGCTTCAGCTCACCTCGCAGGCGCTCTATCATCTCATGCATCACCTGATCCGAGCTGCAGGTGATCAAGATATCGTCGACGTAAGCCAAGATGAGCACTTTGTGCTGCTTGTACGTGCCTGCGAAGAGGCATGCCTCCGTCTCGCACGGGGTCATGTTGAACATCTTCTTGAGTAGGCGCGACAGATGACGAGTCCAGTGTAATGAGGCCGATCTCAACCCATAAAGGGCTTTCCTCAATCTCATGAAAAGACGCTCGCCATTTAGTCCTCTGCAACCATCTGGTAACATGATTATGATCTCTTCTCCGATCAACTCCGCAAACAAGAACGCGGTTGATACGTCCAGGCCTAGGATGTTGTTTCCTACGGCTCCAGCGTAGGCCAAGAAGATCTTCAAGGCCTCCGCACTTGCTGTGGGAGAACTCAATCCAAGTTGCGCCGCAGAGAGGCCTGCAGCAAAGTCTCTTGCCACCACTCTGCAGCGTACCAGACGTTTTTCCTTTCCGTCTACTCGTTCACGCTTGTCTGCCACCACCCAGCGTGTAGAGATGACTCTCTTCTTTGGCGGCAGTTCACTCTCAGAGATCAGATCACCAACAGACAATGATTCCAGAGCTGCCAACTCGCGAAGCATTCCGGCGTACGTCTCCTCTAAGTCAAGCGACACTTCCGTCACGTCGTCTCGTGACCCAGACGGCTTGGCGACTCTCACCTGTCCTCCTCCCAGAGTGACAACTTCTTCTCTACCAGGTGGAGTAGCTGCGAACACTGCCTCGCGTTCACTAACTCGGCTCGCGATTTCCATCATGGCATCCTCAGGCGCGTGCTCAAGCGGTTCTGACTCAACCGTCATCAAGTCTTCTTCAGCCACCACGTAATCCTCCAGAGGTCCCCTTTCTTCGTCCTCCGCAGCTTCCCCGGGCTCGTAGTCGGGTTCTGCTTCTGACAGGCCTCCTCCGGATACATCTCCGGGCAGCTCCAACTCTGGCACATCCTCACCGGCCAACGCACGCTCAACTAGGTTACCATGTACAACAGTGTCATGCTCAACTTCACGCTCAACGTCCTCACCAAACTCAAGGTCACCAATGCCTGCGCCGTCATCATGTTGCGCGCCCTCATCCGTCAACACATATGTTCCGGAATCAAACTGTTCACGCACAAATTTCGCATACCTAGCTCTGCACTTCTCAGTGTGTCGCAGAGTGCTCTCGATCACCCCCTTTGGCAATCTCGCTCGGCATGCCCTGCATTTCGGCGTGGGTCCATATTTCTCAATCCACTCAGGCGTGGGTCCACGGAGGTTGGTGTCCGGCAGCGGGAGGTGCTTAAGCTGGTCTACAGGCAGCGCTTCTTCTTGAGGCGGTCGGGGCCTTCCAGGAAGTATCTTCAACACCCCCTTTACCAGACCCATCTCAAATCTCATCGGGACCACCATGTGAACTTTTGGCGATCTCATCACCCTGAGCTGGCCGTCGTTGGTCTGAACGCGCACCCAATGCGACCCTGATCCGACTTCGGGTCCAAGATACGCTCCCTTCACCATTCTTCCGGTCACTCGGTTCCGCAACGATGGTGGCGGTACAGCCAAGACAGTGGCACCAAACACATACATCGGGTGTGGGGTGATGGCCTTCTGTCTAAATCTTTGTTCGGGCGTCAAGCCGCTGCCGTCTTCTAGCGAATACCTATTGTGTGCTGTGGCAACATGAGACAACAGATATGGCATTGCTGGTCCACACACGCTCAAACCTGCCTTCTCCAACTGCACCAACTGCACATTCGCAAGCTCTCTCACGGTCCTAATGCCTCTTTCTGCAGACGGAGCGTGCCGATCCACTGGCACTTTCTCGACCGATGCTGCGGGGAGCTCCTTTGCGCAGTCTTGCAAGAAAGAAATCAAGGCTGGTTCACCATCTGAACGCAAACTAATCACAACAGGCTCGGACCCAAGCATGCCAACGGATCTAAACCACTTGACTGCACTCACGCGCATGCTGTCGGTTCCAGGGTTCCAAGGTATCACGCCCAAGCAAAAGCACGACACAAGCACAAGCACAACATACCATGCTCCACGCACAAACATCTTGTCTGCCTGCACTTCCCTTCTCGGTGCCTCTGCTGGGTCTCGCTTTCGAGCTGGTTGTAGCGAGCGAGCACGACGGCACTCCTCACAAGACGAGTTGTAGGGAACATGAGAACGCAAGACATGCTCATTCCGTGCATTCTTCCAGTCAAGCTCGGACAACACTTCGGAGTCGCCAGCAAGCCACCAAGCTCCTACTTCTCCTAATGCTTCACGCTCAACTTCGCCCAAGGAACCACGCTCAACTCGTTCTCCCTCTCCCTCAACACCAACAACCAACTCACGCTCAACTCCTGCCAACCCAAGTTCCGCACGCACATGTTTCTGCTCCGATCGCTTCGGCTCTGTCACTTGTTCGTCACCATGCTCCAGGAAGACGCAGAGGAACGTGGTGTCTCCGGTTCCGGAGGAGGCGTTGGGGCTGTCGTCGTGCCTTTGCTTCCCGGTGCTGGTGTCGGAGGTGCCGGCGGTGCTGGCAAACGTGATGCTCTTCCTCGTTGTTGATCTCCCTGAGTGAGGTAGACCGTGCCCACTTCCAACGGGGGGGGCACTTTCGGCGGCGTCGGCGGTGGTCTTGAGGTACTCGTCACCGTAGCCCGATCCTTGGTGATCATCACGGCGCTGCTCTCGATCTGGAACTCCTTCTGGTCGACCGCCAAGGGCTTCATCAGGTTCGCGACGCGGTTGGCCTCCATGACGGCATAGTGGTGGTGGTCCAGGTGGTCCTTCAACGTGAGTATGGGGAGGCTCCTCACTTCCTTTTTGCTCAGCGGGATCTCTCTCTGGACGGTCTGGGTGTGATGCGTCGGGGGCTTCGGCATGGCCTTGGTGCGGATCACCGTCTTCTTCTTCGGCATCGCCTTGGTGCGGATCACCGTCTTCTTCTTGGGCATCGCCTTGGTCTTCGGCCCACTGCTGGCGCTGGCCGCGCTTGCTCCTCCACGGTACTTCAGCAGGCGACGCACGCGCACTGCCTCCGCCTTTGACCTCATGAACCTCGGCTGGGGCAGGTTCTCCGCCGCCGGGGTGAGCCTGACTCTCATCTGCTCCTCCGTCTCTCCCTCGCCCACTTCCATTGCTTGGGTGCTGCCGGCCGCGGGCACCAAAAACACTTCCGTCCTCGGCTTCTTCTTTGTCTCTGGCGTCGGAGGATCGGTCTTGGTCTTTCCGGAGATCTTCGGGGAGCTTTCTGGGGTCTCGACGGGCACCGTGGTCTCGACGGGCACTGCGGTCTCGAAGGGCACTGTGGTCTCGAAGGGCACTGTGGTCTCGACGGGCATTGCGGTCTCGACCGGGAACACCGTGAAGTGGGTCTTCGATCCCACCACTTCCATCGACTCTTCCTCCACTGGCTTCTCCTTTCGATTCTGCCGCGCCCTCTTCCTTTCTTCGCGTCCCTCGGAGCTGGAGGACTCGAAGCCTTTCACTCGCCTCTCCATCTTGCAACGACGAAGAAGAACGTTGTGGGGCACTGGGCCTGCTGACGAACCCTTGCTGCTGGAACACTGCGGGGCAAAACACTGCATTGACGAACTCTGAGATTCTGAGCTCCTATCAACGACGACCCTAACACTCTCAGACAAGAGACCTGTGCTCCGAATCTCAAGCCAACAGCAATTCTGCTGCCAGTGCGTCCGAAACTGGTACCTACCGTTGCGAACCTTGGCCTCACCGGGTTTAAAATTTACGTTCCACCCTTTCTGCGACAACAACCCAAGACTCAACAGGGAGAACTGTACCGGCGCCAAGAGGGCCACAAACTCTACACATGCTACCTCTTCACTAGTTGCTTTCGAAGGCTCCAAGAAAAACATCGCTCGTACTCGAACCTTTCGACGAACTTCTATGGGAGCTCCAGTAGCAGTGACACAGCCTGGGCCTTCTGCACTAAGTTCTTCCACCACTTGAACATGACCGTCTCGTACCAGGCTCTCCGCAAGCAAATGCACGCTCGCTCCTGAGTCCACGAGGAAGAAGAGGCCGTCGTCGGTGCTCCTTTGTGAGAATGCCATGGCGTGCTGCGGACACATGAGGGCATGATGTGTTGCTACTCCTATGCTCTCAACGCCTTCACGCTCAAGCTGACCGACGACATCTGTGGAACTACTGTCCTTGCTTTCCAAGATAATGCAACTTCCAACGCCTTCACGCTCAAGCTGACCGACGACATCTGCGGAACTACTGTTCTTGCTGCATTCCATGCATGCTATGCTTGCGTCCGACAACTCACGCTCATGCTCATGCTCACAACATGCGTTTCCCGAGGTTCCATGCGCAAAATCATGTTCGTCAACATCAAAATCACGCTCAACTTCTCCATCACGCACGTTCCGCACAAAGCTTTCCCATTCTTGGTCGCTCAACTCAAGCGAACACTCCGAACGACCATCTTCCGAGTCGTCAGCGTCCATCGCAAACACGGCTGCCGCAATGACCTGCGGCTCTAACAAAGCTCCTGCCACATTCGGCCTTGTGCCTCCCTGATTGGAAGGCTTCTGAGGGCAATCTTTCGCATAATGTCCGGTCTGGTGGCAAGTAAAACACTTCCTTGCCTTCTTCAGCTCTTCTTTCTTGGCGTCGTTCTGAGTTGCATTTGCTTTGTCACTCTCTTTCCCTTTTCCGTCTTTCTTTCGTTCATTTCCTTTCTTTCCATCCTTTCCTCCATCACGCTCATTTCCCTTTCCACCTTTACCCCCTTTTCCGTCCCCTTTCTTGCCTTTCTTTCCGTCCTTTCCTCCCTTTCCGTCTCCCTTCCGACCTTTCTTCCAGTCTCCTTTTCCCTCAGGAAATTGAAGCGGGTTGGCATGATCCCCCTTTCCCTTTTCTGCAAACGTCAGAACCTTCACATTGGAATCGTAAAACTTGATCGCACGCTCAAGCTCTTCCATGGAATCAATCTTTGCATGCAACAGGATGTACCTTTTCACTTCGACGTCAAGGCACTTAAGGACAATCATGCTCTTGTCCGCTTCCGACAACGCAAGGTCAGGGAACGACGACACCAGGCGACTAGGTCAGGGAACGACGACACCAGGCGACTATACTTGGCAAGTTCCACCTGGACATTTCGATAGGCATCCAAAGGACGATCTTTGGTGGCTTTGGGTGGTTGGTACCTGAGGATCTCTTCTCGCAGTGAGGAGGCTTCGATCCTGGAGCAAACTGACAGGTCCTGATGTAGACGCCGCAAAGCTTCGTACCCTGCTGGCGCACCCAACTGCTCACGCTCAATTTGCTTCAGGATATCCAGACCACGTGGGAAATTCGCAAAGGACTGGCGCAGATACAGAAACACTCTCGTACTCCTCACGCTCTCACCTTTGCTCAAGTCCTTGTTCTGGATTTGTTTCTCTTTCACAATGCATTGCTGGACTTCCGATGGGATGCGGTCATCAAACAAGGCGATCCAAGGCAGAAAAACTTCCAAGTACTCAACCCACGCTTCGATTTCTGAACGCCTGCCTTTCGACATGCGTGAACCATCTAGCATGGGAAGTTTCGGTACATAACTCTCTGCCTTTGGATTCCTGATGGGCGCTCCATCGTCAACTTCCATCGCATGGTCGGCACTGCTGCTCAAACTGCTGATGCTCACGTTGGCTCTCTCTCGCCGACTGGCGTTGCCCTCACCGTTGCCTCGGCTCGACAACATTGCTTTCAGCAGAGACATCATTTGAGATATCTGCTGTTGCTGCTGCTGCATGTGCTGCTGCTGTTGCTGTACCGTCTGCACCAAAACGTGCGACTCCAACGCTGCTTGCACTGCTGAAGTGTCGAGTTGCGGCTGCTGTCCTCCCAAGCCCGGCGGGGTCATCAGAGGTGGCTGCAACGGTGGCGACTCCTGGCGAGGCACTTCCAACGCTTCCCTGTGGCAACACAGGGCTTGCGCCAGCTGCTCCTTGTGCCGACAAGTTCGACATGGGACTAAAGACAGCACTTCTACCGACCAAGGGCAAGACTGGCAATGCACGTGGCCTGTCTGGCCTGCTGTAGGGAGGCTCCTGGGACTGTCTGCGACTTCTCCGCACCATTCCATCAGGTTCTTCTTCCCCGATGTTGTAGTACGACGGACGTCCACGCTCAACCATGGTCACAGACTGTCAAGCCACGCACTTGCCAACTTTCACTTGTTGCGTATTGGGCTCCTTTTTTCAGCAACGGAGTTTCCACGCTCCGCTACCACGTAAAAGACCAAAGTCACGCACAAGACAAGCAACTCACTCGTGTCCCAAAGTACCAAGTGCAAGTCGTTAAAAACCCAAGATGCCAAGCAAGGCACCAAGGATACAACCAAGCCAACTCACACAAGTCCAAACCAAGCAAGCAAGCTCAGACACTCGGACAACACTTCTGTTTTGGCTTGCAGCACTCACACCAGTGCTCGTCACTTGAGCCAAAGTGGAAAACGTATCACAGCTCTCCAACTTGCCAGCTCGGCTTAAAAGACCTCCAAAACTACCCTCAAGTCACGAAACTCGACGAGAGTGGTTCCCTATGAGGCAAAACGTTCCTGCACCGCTAATCGTACTCAGGCTACTGGGAAAACTTCAAAAGCTGAGCAGACTCCAAGCTATGCACACAAAACTGCAAACTGCAAAACTCACCGTGTCGCACCCTCACAGGATGACGCACAGTTCTCGAACTTCTACACCCCCCCTCGACACGGTGGGTGTCGGCTCGTCCACGCGCAAGTATTCCAGACAAAACTCACAAGCAACGCGACGCTGCAGATTGCCTGGGTGGGCATTGCGCAGGGCGGGGCAATTGCTGCGAACATGAAAGGCATATCCATGCCGCGTAGTGATAATTGCTCTCCGACTTTGTTCCACTGGAAGAAAGGTAAGAAGCTCACTCAGAGATAGAATATGGCTGTGACGCTGTCGGTATTGCTGCACAAAGATTCCAGCGAGGAAGCTGCCAAGCATCGCCGAGGAAAACATCGCAAGGAAGGCGATCAAACTGACTTCCACCTACTGCTGAGGAACCCATTGCATCCAGAGCTCTCGAACCCAAGTGCGCCTCACAGCGTTCTCAACCTCAACCATATCAGCCATGGCACGTCCTATGCTCTATACACCGTACCGAAGGCAAAGTAAAAGAGGAAAACTTTGAGCAAATCTCGCGGTGTCATGCGTTTAACGCGTGCAAGAAAGCGTTCGTCAACTTCTCCGGGTAGTGTTGGGTATTCTTGAGATCGAAGTTGGCGGAATGTGGATGACCATCACCTGGGCACCGAAAGACCGACAAGCTGCGAGCAACCGACTCCATCGTCGTGATGACACGCCAACGTTTGTAGATCAACTCGCCATCTCGACCACGCATGCCAAGCGAGCAACCGTCAACCAACACATCGTGCAACATGTAAGGTCGCGACTGCAGAAAACGGATAGTCTGGTTCCATGACCAGTAAGCACAGGCTCGGGGCCACTCGATCGACCAAGCATGGACGTAGTCACACAGCGACATAAAAGCCTTCCACAGCTTCCTGTGTAGTGACCAGTGCCGTGCCAAGCGACCGCGTCTGTAGGCTGGATCACGTGCATGTAGATGCTGGTACAGACAACCACCGGTGCACGGAGTACTAGCCCACAAGTAGACGAAACCCCCCCTGCGAATGTGGAGAGTGCAGATCTGTTGAAGCTGCGCTGTAGTGGCCGGGTCTCCGCCGTCATCTGCCTCACTGACAGTCAACACACCAACCCAGGGGCACGCTCGCGACGCAGCCAACATGCTCGACATGGGAGGCGCACAGAACTCAACCACCAACCACTTGGCAAACTCCATCAAACGATACCGATCTGCAAGAGATACATGATCCTTGCCAGCCACAGCAGCACCAAGCAAGCCAACGAAACACGCCAACTCACCAACGCAAGCTGCAACAGTGACTTCAGACAAACCAAGGCTCAACATGTGCTTCAACGTAGTCCGGGCATCTAACGATTTTGTGAAGAGGTCTGCGACGTTGGAGGCTCCTCGCACTCCGAAGATGAAGAGAAGTCGCTGTCGGAGCTGATCTTGTATAAAGCATGCTCTCAGATCTAAATGTCTGACACGCCTCAAGCCGTCAGCCCGACTGATGGCGATGGCGGCCTCGGAGTCGCAAAAGAGGTGCGGTGCGCACAACTCCTCCCATCCAAACACGTGGGAAATTGCTCTTCGGATTGAAAGTGATTCCTTTGCAGCAAAGGCTTTGCTCCCTCAACCAATCCGTACAACTCCGACTCTGCTGAGCTGAGAGCGACAGCTTGTTGAAGCCGTGACCACGCTTTCAAGCAGAAACCGCCAAGCATGATGCAACCACCGCTCACACTCTTGCGATCAACGCTCCTCTCACTGCCCCATGACGCATCCACGTAGCAATCCAACCGAAGGCTCCGTTCATCAACTGGATGGACGATCTGTCGAAAATCCTGAACATGCCGGAGATACCGTAATACCATCCGCATTGCACGTTCATGCTTCTCACGTGGACTGGCCTGGCCTCGAGCTAGCATGGAAACATAATATGCTAGATCCACACGCGTCATGGCCAACCATGAAAGGCGTCCCAGCGTAGAGCGATATCGAGCAGCAGCTTCTGAGCTCAACTCCCTCTCCAAGACTCCTTCTTCTCTGTCGTAAAGTTCTCGAAGATTCGGCGGCGTCGGGCAAGACTTTGGACTCTTCCCAAGTCCAAAACCCTCATAGATCTCCTGGTAGTACTCGCCTGCCATGCCAATCACCAAAGAGTCCTCACCCTTCTTCCTGGTGATTTGACGACCAAGAAACGTGATTTGCTGATCACGATCCAAATCAGCAGTCACCTTGATCTTCACCGCGCTTTTAAGCTTCTCCACCACGTAGTATATGGCCTCGTCGCTGTCGCTGCTGATGAGGAGATCGTCTACGTAGCACAACACCGCCACCCTCTGTCCATCGAGAACCACACCCGAGAAGAGGCATGGCTCCGTTTCACATGGAGTGAGGTCGCAGAGGCGCTTGAGGAGCTTTGCGAGATGACGAGCCCAGGTCTGGGCCGCGGCTCTCAAACCATAAAGAGCCTTGCGAAGTCGCATGAACCCAGGCCTTCCATTGGGACCGGTAACTCCAGCAGGGAGCCGCACCACTACCGTGCCGTCTTCTTCTAACTCTGCGAACAAGAACGCCGTACTGACGTCGAGGCCTACGACGTTCTGCCTCTTCGAGCCGGCATAAAAGAGGAAGGTCCTCAATGCCTCGGCTGAGCTGGTCGCCGCAGAAATGCCAAGCTGAGCAGCCGTTGCTCCCTGGGCGAAATCACGCGCAACAACCCGACAACGGACCAGTGGTCTTTCTTGGCCGTCAATCCGCTCCAGCTTCGCATTTGACACCCATCTTGTGGATATCACTTTCTGCTTCGGATCCACATGCCAAATCACATCACCGACTG